CCCTGCTGGCTCCTATCCAGCCCCCTCTCGGCCAACCCCCCCCCTGGGTCCCTCTCTGCCAAGCAGCTCTCCAGCCACTCCAGGAGACAGGGCAGCTCCCAGGGCTGTAGGGCTTAGCAGGAAGGAGGGAATGAGTGTTCAGCTGTATGAAGTTACCTGCTCTGACTTGTCTTGCAGTGCAACATTGATGTAGAAACAGGCGAGCCCGGAGACGATCTCACTCCAGAAGCTATCGAGTACTGTCAAAAACTGGGCAGCAAGGCTACAAAGGTCTCCGAAATCATCAGCAGCAAAGACAAGGCTATCTACGGGGCTATCCAGAAGGGAATTTCAGCAGTCAACGAGGGAGCCATCTCGAATGCTCAGAAAGTCCAGAAGTGGGTCCTCCTGGAGAAGGACTTTTCTCTCTTTGGTGGAGAGCTTGGTGAGTGGTGGTTGGGGGCATTTGGGGTTACCCCGTCACCCCTTCCTTGGCTGTTGAACCGGCAACACTGCCAGGACCCCCAGTGCACGGAGCTACCCCCGGCCCTGCCTCGCTGCGGCTCTTCCACGCCGTGGCTTTGGGGAGGGTGGGATGAATTCCCACTTCTGCCCAGCAGAGCAGAGCTGAGCAGCGCGTGCCCTTGGCTCTGCGCTGTCGCAGGATGGCTCTGCCGTTTCCATTCCCAGGGGAAGGGAGGGACATTTTATTAATCGCCACGAGAACTTAGAAGTCAACGTCTGCTCACGCATTCTGAACCTTCCTCCAGGCTTGCTTCGCTCCAATACCGTGTCTCCAAGCGGTATCGTTGCCGTTACACCCTTGTGCTCTAATTTTTCTCCCCAGGCCCAACGATGAAGCTGAAGAGATTAGTGGTGGCACAGAAGTACGAAGACCAAATCGCTCAGTTTTACGCGGAGGCGGACCCCCCTACCGCCACAGCGGCCGCTCTTCGGCAGTAGCGCGGAGGTTTGTGCCGTGGACTGGAGCAAGCCTGGAGGACGATCCCCCCAGGAGGAGGAATTTCAGGAAGGATTCCCTGGGTTCTCTCGAAATAAATGGGGCTCGGCCATCGCGCAGCCCTTCTGAAATCGCTTAACTGTACGTGTTCTGGCCCTCCTACCGCAGCGTGGTGGGCGTGTTCGTGCCCCGTGTTTTCCTGTGTCTGTGTTTCAGTGCTGAGATATTCCCGAGTGTCTCCTCCGCTTCGTGGTTTTTTTTTTTTTGGTCTTGCCCTTTTTGTAAGGGCAACACAGTGTTTACCTTAAATCCGTATTATATGTTTTAACCAAAGTTTTTTTTATTTTCCTGAGCTGAATGTAAAACAATCAGGAACT